TTCGTTCGCTATGAGGCACAAACCTACATATAACGTGTTTTTGCTAATCCACTTAATTTTAGTTCGATCTAATCGATCTCTTATGGGGGTGGATAGCCAATCATGTATCCGTCCTACAAGTGGCTCCATATATATATATAATTGACAATGAAAAGATAGTACTAATACTGATTGGATTGGATTATATTCCCAACAATGCGAACTTTTTAGTCTATCATTGTGCCTCATCTGATATATATATATATATATATATATATATATATATATATATATATATAATCCAATCCAAGCAGTATTAATACTATCTTTTCATTGTCAATTATAAGAGGGCTACAGATAAATCTTGTCATTGTTAATTATATATTTCACCACTATCTTTTCATGTTTTATGTTTGATTACTAAGCAATCTGAAACAAATAGAAAACAGTTTTATTATTGAAACCTAAGGAAATAGAAACAACTGGAAAAGCACAAAGGTAGAAAAAGTAGTGAAATATACTTAATAGATTTGAAATCCTTTAAAAGAAAATTAATTTCTATTCCATAATCAAAGCTTTTGCTTGAGTTAACAAATAATTTGCTGAAAACAAGTGTCCAGGCATAGATATTCCTGATTCTAAATTCTAAATTTGATACCATCAAAGTGAAAAATGAATCATAGCAAAGAGGACAACGCAGCTTTTGAATGTTATGTTTATAACAAACTTTAACGAGTCATCGAGCATTATGCGATCGGAATCGAACCCTAATTCTCCATCTCCTTCAACGGGGGAAAACGAGAGAGAGAGAGAGAGGGATCGGAAACGCCGGAAGAAAAAGATCTGTGCGCTGCGAGGCAAAATGACAAATACGTAATGTTCTCTCTGTAATCTCCTTAATCCCTCTCCTTAATGAAGATTACTTTTAATTCGATTAAATCTACCACTTACGCTGTCAGATACCAGGATTATGCACCCGTCCTATGATTGGAGTCACGGTTAGCAAAACAAGTGGGTCCGCTGTGGGCTCCGTGCTGCTTCCAATCATAAGTGTCATTGCAAACCCTATCTTGGTTGGAGAAAATAA